ACTTTTGTTGGTGCATTCTTGCTCTTTATGACCAACTTGCTTGCACCTAGTGCAAAACCGACCATTGTTCTTCACAAAACTAGTCTTGTGAGGAGCAAAGGCCACCTTGCCTTTCTTGGGGGTATAGCCCAATCTCTCTTTATAGAGAGAAGCTCTTTGGCTACCCAAGCATATAAGCAAGCGGTCCTCACCACCATAGGCCTTAGCCAAAGTGTGAGTGAGCTTGTTAACCTCCTTCTTGAGATTCTCATTCTCAACCACTAGTGAGGCATCACAAGTGAGACCATCACCACTAGATGAGGTGGAAGTGGAAGTGCTACAAGAATGGTTAGCGAGAGCAACAATGATAGACATAGATAATGATTCATCAATTATATCACAAGTTAAACCTACATTGCAAGTTTCAACATGCTTCTTTTTATTTTGCTCATTAAGCAAAGAAGAATGAGCTTTTTCAAGCTTCTTGTGAGCTTTGCCAAGCTTCTCATTGGCTTCCTCTAGCCTCTCATGAGATACATTTAGCTCATCAAAGGCTTGCTTAAGGGCTTTAATTTTCTTACGCAAGCTTTTGCATTCTCTTCTCTTAATATCAAAGTGTTCTCTAGCATCTTCTAGCATGTCAAATAATTCATCTTTAGTAGGTTCATCATTATCACTATCACTATCATTCTCATTTTCATGTTCATTTTCATCATCATGTTCTTCATCAGTTTTATCATCACAAGATTGTACCTTAGTGGCCTTAGCCATGAAGCATGATGAAGATTCGAAGAGAGAAGGCTTCTCATTTATAGCAATGCTTGCAAGAACCTTCTTCTTGGTGGTCTTGTGATCATCACTATCATCATCATCATCACTTGAGGAAGCATCACTATCTCAAGTGACTACATATGAACCACCCTTCTTCTTCTTGAAGGTCATCTTATCCTTCTTCTCTTTCTTTTCCTTCTTGTCCTTCTTCTTGTTCTTCTTGTTGTCATCATCATTGTCACTATTGTATGGATATTGGGCAACAAGATGATCTTTGCTTCCACACTTGAAGTGCCTTCTTGACTCTTCTTTGTTCTTGGATAAAGATTTCTTTCTTCTTGCACGGTAGCCCTTCTTCACCATGAACTTGCCAAATCTCTTGACAAATAGAGCCATCTTCTCATCATCATCATCCCATGATTTATCTTCTTCACTTGATGTTTCTTGCTTAGCTTTGCCCTTGGATGATGTGGCCTTGAATGCCACGCTCTTCTTCTTCTCATCCTTCTTCTCATCTTTCTTCTCCTTCTTTTCTTTCTTCTCATCATCATCTCTATAAGTATCATCGGTCATTATATCTCCCAACACTTGGTTTGGTGTCATTGTGTCCAAACCACTACTCACTAGAATAGTGACCAATGTACCAAATCTTGAGGGTAAGCATCTCAAGAACTTGTGGGAGAAGTCTTTATCCTTCACTTCTTCTCCAAGTGCTTTGAGATCATTGATAAGCACTTGAAGCCTATGGAACATCTCTGGCACACTCTCATCATCCTTCATCTTGAAGCTTGCAAACTTTTCTTTGAGAATGTAAGCCTTTGCACCCTTCACGGCTTGAGTGCCCTCAAATGATTCTTCCAACTTCTTCCATGCCTCATGAGCCATCTCAATATTTTTGACTTGCTCAAATGTTCTTTCATCAATTGCATCATGAATAGCACTTAGACCAATGTCATTGTTTTGGAGAAGTACTTCTTCGGTCGTGGTAGGATTCTCCGGATCTTCAATCTCAATTTTTGTTTCTACCACCTTCCAAATCTTCCTATTGATTGACTTGACATAAGTTGTCATCTTGGCCTTCCAATAGGGATAGTTGGAGCCATCAAATTGGGGTGGCTTCTTGGTGTTGTTGATTTGAGCCATTTTAACACCGAAGAGTTGTTAAGCCTCAAATAACGGTGACCTCGACTCTGATACCACTTGAAAGGTCCTAATGGCTAGAGAGGGGTGAATAGCCTAATAAAAATTTCTACAACAACACTTAACAAAAGGTTAGACAATTATGAGGCGAAGCAAGTGTTGCGCTAGCCTACTCAAAATGCAAGCCACCTACCACAATTCTAGTTTAGATAGTATCTATTCACACAATAGCTATGACACTACTCTATGTTAGTGTGCTCTCAAAGGCTAACTAAAGAGCCACACCAACCAAGCTCTCACAACTAACTACACTAAAGAGCTTGACAACTAGTTTGCGGTAAGGTAAGGAGTAGGCAAAAGGGTTATACCGCCGTGTAGATGTATGAACCAATCAATCACAAGTGTGGACAACAATGAAGACCAATCACCTCGGAATCAATATGATCAACACAATGATTTTTACCGAGGTTCACTTGCTTGCCGACAAGTTAGTCCTCATTGTGGCGATACACTCACTTGGAGGTTCACGCGCTAATTGGCTTCACACGCCAAACCCTCAATAGGGTGCCGCACAACCAACACAAGATGAGGATCACACAAGCCACGAGCAATCCACTAGAGTACCTTTTGGCGCTCCACCGGGGAAAGATCAAGAACCCCTCACAATCACCACGATCGGAGCCGGAGACAATCACCACCCTCCGCTCAACGATCCTCGCTGCTCCAAGCCATCTAGGTGGCGGCAACCACCAAGAGTAACAAGCAAAATCCGTAGCGAAACACGAACACCAAATGCATCTAGATGCAAACACTCAAGCAATGCACTTGGATTCTCTCCCAATTTCACAAAGATGTTTAATCTATGATGGAAATGAGTGGGAGGGCTTTGGCTAAGCTCACAAGGTTGCTATGTCAATGGAAATGGCCAAAGATATGAGCTATAGCCTGCCATGGGGCTTAAATAGAAGCCCCCACGAAATATAGCCGTTATACCCTTTACTGCGCATAACGCGGGCTGACCGGACGCTGAGCCCCCAGCGTCCGGTCGCTCGTAGTCAGCCACGTGTCTGACTCCAACGGTCATTTGCCTTGCCCGAACGGACGCTCTGGTCAGTTGACCGAACGCTGGACCCTCAGCGTCTGGTCATTTCCAGTAAGGGTCCAGAACCGATTTTTATCGACCGGACGCGTCCGGTCATGCTTGACCGGACACAACCCATCGTCAGGTGCTTAACCCTAAGCGCTGTACAGACCGACCACTTGACCGGACGTAGCCCTTCAGCGTCCGGTCGCCGAGCAACCCAGCGTCCGATCAATAGACCGACGCCAGCATCTCACTGTTACACATGACCGGATGCGCCGGTCCCTCAGAGGTCCAGCGTCCGGTCATTGTATAACCAACGACACTAACTCATTTTTACTTCCAACTTCTCCACCCTTGCTCAAATGTGCTAACCACCAAGTGTATCACCTTGTGCACATGTGTTAGCATATTTTCACAAATATTTTCAAGGGTGTTAGCACTCCACTAGATCCTAAATGCATATGCAATGAATTAGAGCATCTAGTGACACTTTGATAACCGCATTCCGATACGAGTTTCACCCCTCTTAATAGTACGGCTATCAACCCTAAATATGATCACACTCTCTAAGTGTCTTGATCACCAAAACAAAATAACTCCTATGGTTTATACCTTTGCCTTGAGCTTTTTGTTTTTCTCTTTCTTCTTTCCAAGTCCGAGCACTTGATCATTACCATGGCATCATCTTCATCATGCTATGATCTTTGTTTGCTTCACAACTTGGAGTGTGCTATCTATCTCATGATCACTTGATAAACTAGGTTAGCGCTTAGGGTTTCATCAATTCACCAAAACCAAACTAGAGCTTTCACACGTCCACGCCCGTCTTCCCAGCTAGTCGGAGCAAGTTGTCCCAGCAACTTTTTCGCGCGCGGCCACCCAACGGTGGCTCAAGCTTGATTTTTCCGCATGCTGCACCGTATCCACGTCTCGGTGGCCGTCGTCGTTCGCTCGTGCACATAGCAGTCCTTGATTTATGTCTTGGTATGTCCTATTCGATTCGGTCTAGTTGTCCATGGTGTATTGGAATAAATATCATTAGATTTTATTATGAAATTTATTTTTTATAATAAATTGATTCTAAGTCATAAATTTAAATACGATCCACTAGAAACTTAGTTAAATATGAACCATTTAACTTAACAGATACAATGGCCGTATATTCAGTAGAAACTTTAATCAAGCTGCTCAACTCTGCTCACGCTCACAGCCGGGGCGGCAGGTGCTGCCGGTGTGCCTGCGTGGTCCACCGTTCACAACACTAAGCTCTCATCGATATGCGTGCACGAGAGGCTCGTGCAAGCATAGGACTCCTATCCTCTTTCACTCTCCCGGCGTGCCCGTGCAGCTAGACTAGCTAGGCAGCCGTGCTCTCTCTCTCTTCTAGCTTCGAATAGATAGGCCCACAGGTATGTCTATCATCCTGCCATATCCTGCATGTAGTTGCCAAGGGCTGCACTGCAAGTCAAGTTGGCGCCAAGTGAAGTGGCACCGAGCTCAGTGCCTGGTGCCACGTCCACGCCATGCAAGCAGCCACGTCAACGCCACACAGAAAATAACCTTGGACCTCAGCTCCAATGACTATGACGTCGAGATGTGTAACCTCGGCGCCAATTGCTACGACATCGAGCTCAGGGTCCAGAAAATGAAAACAAACCTCCAAGGGTCTAAATGTGAATATCTTTCGTAAAAAGGGCTAAAAATAAAAACAAATCGGTGTCTAAGCGAGGAGCATCTGGCATCAAACAATTAGGCTTGGTGGGCTGTTTGTTGTACTGGGCCGATGCCGTCACACACTGCGGCTGTTTCTACTTTCGGCCTCGGTGCACAAAAATTGGCGAAAACAAAATTATCTGGGATACCTAAACCGTTAGCGGAGAGCCGGAGACCGAGAGAGAAATAAAAGGACTCCATGCTCGTCAAAAACCTAGTAGTAGCTAGAGATACACGTGAAAAGCCTCTCTCGTCACGCCGCCAGGGGCGTCCGTTTTCTCTCCCATAAAACCAGCAAAATCCGGCCGCCGCCATGCCGACTCTGCCACCGCCATGCACCACCTCCGACGCGCGATCCGCCATCATTGGTGGTGAAGTGACCGGGTACCACATACTGGACATCGTGGGATACTCGCACATCAAGGAGCAGTTGCGCCGTGGAGACTCCACCAACTCTCTCCCTTTCACCGTCGGAGGTTGCTCCTGGTACATCTCATATTACCCCAACGGTTGCCCCCACAGCGCCGACGGCTTCATAGGTATCTTCCTCTGCCTAGAGCAGAGCTGCGGCGCCGACCGCGTGAAGGCGCGAGTCAAGTTTAGTTTGCTGGATCGAGCTGGGAAGCCGGTGCCATCGCACTCCCGTACCACTGTGCTGATCTTCGATAAGATCTTCATCTCTGCAGATTACCCTTGCTGCTTCGGCTTTGCTGAGTTCATGCGGTGGGCAGATCTGGAGAAGTCGGAGCATCTCAAGGTCGACCGCTTCACAATCCGGTGCGATATCACGATTGCCAACAAGCTCTGCAAGGAGCGGCGGAGAGCTGCGTATGGGTTGGTTAAGGTGCCACCATCCGATCTGCACCAGCATCTCGGCGAGCTCCTCGCGTCCAAGCAAGGCGCAGATGTTACGTTCCATGTTGGCGGCGAGACGTTCAGAGCGCACAGGTATATTCTCGCGTCCCGGTCGCCGGTCTTCCAGGCAGAGCTCCTTGGCCCGATGAGAGAAAGCCATGCTGCGGCTGTCGTCGAGATACAAGACATGGAGGCGCAAGTGTTTCAAGCCCTGCTAGAGTTCGTGTACACCGATGCCTTGCCTCAGGACATGACGCAGGAGGAGGACGCTGTGATCTGTCAGAATCTACTTGTTGTGGCGGACAGGTACAGCATGGACAGGCTGAAGCTGGTATGCGAGGACCGGCTTTGCAGGCATATCAACGTGGCCTCCGTGGCTATCATATTGGCTTTGGCCGAGCAGCACCGGTGTCATGGCCTCAAGGAGGCATGCCTCCAGTTCCTTGTGTCCCCGGCTGTTCTCAATGCAGTCGCAGCAGCCGAAGGCTTTGATCATTTGGCTAATACCTGCCCTTCTGTTTTGAAAGATTTAATCTTTAAGCTCACCGACTGTCGTCTCGATATCTGGGGGAAAACAGGTTAGTTGATCAGAAAGGCAAACTCGCTAGAAGCAAACTGTAAAGTTCAGGCAATGTGTTTTTTTTCTTCTGTTTGTTAATTGTAGAGTGCGTAAAACTTTTCTTCGGTATAAGAAGTTGCATGGATGGATGTTTTTTCACGTAGCTGTGGTCAGGTCGTCAGGAAGCACGGCATTATATTGCCTCCACAAGTTCTGCCTGTATTATTTCGTCTTTGAAAATCTCTCAAAGATCTCAAGTCAGCTACAGCTAGCTATTGCTAATGATTTTTTCCTCTCTAACACATCATTTGTGTAATGGTCCCATTCCACCTGTCAGTCAATAAGCACCTAGCACCAACGGTTTGGCAAGTCGAAGCATATCAAGGAGTTCTACGTGGTGAAGAGAGCTAGTCATCTCTTTTGATCACCTTCCGATTATTAGAATCTAGATTGTCAATGAGATTATAACAATCAAGATTGTTTAGATCACACTAGTACACAAATCTTTTCCGTGGCGGTCAAAAACAGTTAACTGAGGCGGGCATTCCAAACACCTACGAGCAAAGGTCACAGTTAATCAAAGAACAACTGAGGCGGTCATATTGCCCGCTTGGGTTAATGAATTAAAAAAACAAAAAAAGGCAGCGAGCCCGTCAATGAGGCCCGTTGAGCCCATCCACGAGCCCGCCGAGCCCATCCGCGCGTGCGCCGCCGCCGCCTGCTGGATTCGGCCGTGCGCCACCACCGCTCGCTGGATCTGGATGTCCCGTGCCGGATCCACCGCTTCCATGCCGGATCTGGGCCGTGGCGCCCATGCTCGAGGCCGTGGACGCCGTAGCCGCCGGACTGCGAGCATGCCGCCCCCTCCGCCGCCAAGGAGAGGCCCCTCCAGCCCCCGCCGGATCTGGACGTGAACGCCACCGGAGAGTTGCGCCCCTTGCTCGAGGACGTAGCCGCCGAACTGTGAGTGCGCCGCCGGAAAGCTGCCCCTGTCGGATATGAACGCGCCCTCCGCCGCCGAGGAGCAAGGTTGGCCCCCCTGGGGCGCGCCACCGGAGAGGCCCCTTCGGCCCCTGTCGACGAAATATGGTCGGCAGTCTACCCAGGGGTATGCGCAAGGTAGTAGATTGTCGGCAGACAGATGCGCAAGCCACAAACAAGATGGTGACGCAAGACACACGAGGTTTTATCCAGGTTCGGCCACCGAGAAGGCGTAATACCTACGTCCTGCGTCTGATTGTATTGCTGTATGTCAATGAGAGATGTTTTTTAGAGAGGTCCCCTGCCCGCCTTATATAGTCCGAGGGGCAGGGTTATAGATCTGGAAACTAATCCTAGTCAGTTACAATTGCCATAGGTGACCGGATAAGGATTCCTATTCTAACCGACTGAGATCTTGCTTGATCACCAAATCTGTCTTGACTCCTTCCGCGGGACTCCGAACAGGTTGGCCGGGCCGCGCGTCGCCTTTTGGTGGACCGGACCCACTGATCCGGGCCGGACCAATCTTAGCCGTAAGGGTATAGGGGTTAATACCCCCACAGCTAGTCCCCGAGCACCATGTGTTTTGCTGCGACACGCCACTTTAACCTTCTCCGAATAGTAAAGCTTGAGTTTTTGATATTTCTGACCACCGTTATTGCCGGAGAAGTAGGTTGTCCGAAGAATGTATGGTGCTCTTAAGAAAAAAGAAAAAGATTTTCATCCTATGAAGTGTGCCCACTTGTATTTCTGAAAAGAAATGTAAGTGGATCCTGAGGCGTAGCATCCTTGATCATCAGAGGCGTAAGGGTCGAAAAACAAACACATTCATCGCAAGGTGAAGTGTGCCCACTTAGTCCCCGAGCCTGGTAGTAGGTGACGTAGGCACGTGGTGCCAGGGTCTAAAAAGAATTCCCAGTTAAGTTGAAAACCCAATCGTCGTACAGGCAATACGAGATGCACCGGCAGGTGCATCGTACCGATGTAGTCCCCGAGCTTGCTGGAAGGCGAAGTACAAACCTTGTAGCAAGGTCTAAATAAATGTCTCTCAACTGTATATGAGTACAAATCACATGTAGCCGAGGAGAACAATCTCCGAGCAGTGGTCGGCACAGTTCCCGAGCACATTGGTGGTCGAAGCAGTCCTCGAGCACGGTAGTGGTATGTGCAAATCCCCGAGCACGCACAAAGTGGTCTAGGCGATCCCCCGAGCACACGGCAGTGGTCTCATGCGATCCCCGAGCACGGCGATGGTCTAGGCGATCCCAAAGCACGGCAGCGGTCTAGGCGATCCCAAAGCACGGCAATGGTCTGGCGATCCCGAGCACGGCGGTGGTGGTCAGGCGATCCTCGAGCACGACATGCATCTGTGGCGATCCCCCGAGCACGACGATGGTCTAGGCGATCCCCAAAACGGCGGGTGGTCTAGGCGATCCCGAAACACGGCGATGGTCTCAGGCGATCCCCAAGCACGACGAAGGGTCTAGGCGATCCCGAGCACGGCTGTGGTCTAGGCGATCCCCGAGCATGGCAAGATGGTGGCAAGGCGGTCCCAAACACTGCAATGGTCCAGACCATACTTGAGCACAAGACATGCAAATAAAAAAATGAACGCCGCTTGTACTATTATTTGGTGTATTTATTTATCTTCTTACTCTATCAAGTCCAATCGTTACATCGTCTCTGTCAAAAAAGCGATAGTACAACACGTCATACTTGTCTTCTTGCCCTTTCTAGCAAATATATGCTTGACACCTATAAAGAGGTGCGCGCAGGGCCCTCTCACACTAGCAACGAAGAGGCGCGTGACACTCGCAACGAAGGGGAGCATTTATTAGCGTGAGATCTCGAGGTTGTGAAAACAACCATATGCATGCGCACAAGACATCTCCCAAGAATCTCTAAGCGAATGAAACGACGGAAATCTTGGTTATTTATAATATAGAACTGGTAAGTTATTTTTACCAACCCCATTATCATTCGCCGCCGCACCTTCTTCTTCCTCTTGCCAAACCCTATTCCTCCGAAATCATCGCCCATCACCCTCCACCGCACTTTTTAGCAAGGATGATTAATGGCGAAGAAAACGCCTGTAAGAAAGCCGAGTCATGGCGGAGGAGTGGTGGAAGTCAAGGAGCAATGATCGCACCATCAAGACCTTGTCACCATGGGAGTGCTCCATAACAAGGCACTTCGTGGGATGGCGCGTACTGAAAGGAGAAAGCTACCCCGATCCACAACCAGTGAGATTGTGGTTTTCGAGGATTTCTTCAAGCGGGGTTTTGGAGTTCCAAAGGCACCCTTTCCTCCGTGGGGCACTGTTTGTACTATGAGATTGGGATTTGCAATCTGCATCCCAACTCGATTCTTCTTGTCTCCACCTTCATCCATCTTTATGAAGCATATGGTGGCTTCCATTTTTTTCACCTCTCTTTCGCCATCCTGCTCGCTCTCTGGAAGAAAGAGAGCGGCGGCTTGAAGATAGCCGGAGGCGATATCTCAATCATGCTGACGGGATGAAAGCCCAGTACTTGCATTGCCCTTGGAACACATCGCTAGACGAATGGTACAAGAAGTGGTTCTACGTCCATGAAGAGCCAAACATGATCACCTGCGGCGACGGGGTTCATTCCGAGAAGAAAAACAATTGGGTCGGAGAAGCCCAAGCGCTTGGAACAAAGTTGCGAATCTGCTCGGGATGATCCCATGGGGGAAGCTGGATGGTCCAAGCGTGGTCGGAAACTTCATCAGCCGAAGGATCCAGCCCTGCCAGAAGAGGGTACATCCTGGTTACGAATACCAGGGAAGCGCAGATCCAACGAGGACCAGAAAAGAGGCGCTTGACAAAATCGAAGTCAAGGCCAGGATTGGGGAGCTATTCAACTTAGCAGATCCCAATTATGTCGTGTTAAACGACATCGAGCATAACTTCAAGCTGGCTCGACCTCCCCCAAAGGTAAATTATGCTTCCTTGTACCTATAGAGTTATGTTGTAACAAAAATTGACTGTGTTGTCGCCTTTATGTTTCCCAGAGTAATGGTCATGACAGGGCATCAGTGTTCGTGTCTCCACCCCCTGGTGTGGATTGGCCGCAAGTTGCCGCCCAACCCCCTGCACAGTGCTGTGGGCGAAGACGCCGACCGGGCCGTACTTGGGGTTGGAGAGGAGGCAACGGCCAGGGCTGCTTGGAAAGCGGCCGGTGGCCAACAAACGTCGTAAGGCCATCTTCCCTCTGTCGGATGATGAAACAGAGGATGCGAGACATCTTCCGACTCGTCCCTCGAAGAGGAGGAGAGACAATCGAGTTGATTTGAGCGGGGTGGCTCCTCTCGTGTCGATGAGGGATCGCATCACCGACCACTGCAACATAGATGACAAGCGGCAAAGGGGTCGAGCACCAGGCCCCGACACTGGTACTGGTTGCGGAAAAAGACCCAGTGGAACCCGCTGAGCACGTGGAGCAAGCACGGTCGAAGAGACGCTCCTTCGCCACGTCATTCCATGCTTCCGAGCTATAAGTATTTGCAACCTTGATGTAAGCTTACAATTTGTATTGAATACTATTGTTTTCTGAACTTATCTCTGATATATTAGGTCGGCGTCCACCGAAAATCCCGACCACCGGCGGAAAAGCGGCACGGCTTCACCAAAGAATGACGGAAAGAACTGCCCAAAGAATTTGATGTGGAGGAACTCAGAGAAGAAAATCCACCAGAACCTCAGCAGATGAGCGGCCAGACGACAATCCCCGAGCAGCTAGTCGAGGAGAGAGCCGAGCCAAGTACTAGTGCTCCGAGCACTACCCCTGCTGAGGGGGATGCCTCGGCGCCAAGGGGACCGGACCAAGCCGAGGAGCAACAGCCGGAGGTGGCAAAAAGCATGCTTGCCGATGCTACGGCTCGTGGGAAAGCCATAGTGGTCGCAGAGACTACGAACTCCAGACCAGCACCGCCTCCTGAACAAGAGGCCAAAGAGGACGAAGTAGAAGAGATCCTGGGCCATCCCCAAGACAAACGACAACATGTATATGTGTCGCGCCAGT